TTCAAGACTGGCGGTATCTTTCTCCTTACAGACGCATAGCAGCAAATTCTTCGGTGAGGGCGTCGATCCGCGCTTGCAAGCGGCGGCGCGGGTTCTTGGTGTGGCGGTGGCCTACATCGTCTACATTCATATCCGTGTCAACAGTCGTGGGGGGCAATCGGCGGTCGAGGCACGTCGTCGTGATCTTATCGGTTAGGCACTTCCACACGCCTCGATCTTGGGCCGTGGTGCGGATGACGTCGAGTTCTTCGGTGGTGAGCAGTGACCGACTGACGCATTGGAGGTCGCGGTGGAGCACCACTGGCAGCGTCGTCTTGGTCCTGCCTGCGAACTTGGCTTCGTTGGACGGTGCAAAGTAGGCGGTCATGGCAGCTTGTGCTGGGGTGTCGGTGGGGGCGCGGAGGGCGTTACCAAACAAACGTCACCGGTGGCGTGTGACGAGGCAGCGGAGCGGCTAGGTGTGGCAGCGAGCGTACAAGTCGGCTTCGAGGATTTGGTGCGGGTAGAAGATGCCGAACAGCAGCCGCAGTTGGCGGCGGTGGAAGACGTCGAGGCCATCGAGCTGCGTCGGAGTCAGGGCCAACGTGCCACAGTTGTACAGAAGCACCGGCAGCACGTAGGTCTTGTAGAGCCGAGCGCGGTTGCTCTCGGAGACGAGCCATGCCAGGCGTTGGCTAGCCCTGTGGCCAGGACTGGCACCGCCTTGGCTGTGATTTCGGTCATGACTTCTTGCGACGCTGTCCATGTAAAATACTTTCAAACGTTGGTAGGTTCGAGGTAGATCGGGCTCCTGGCGACATCTTTTCGGCGTTCGATTGCACAACGACCCAGTATAGCGTCGAGGGGGCCATTTGTACGGGGGCCTACTGCAACTGGATGACCTTGGCAAAGATCTGGATGGAGAAATGCTCGAGGTTGTTGTTTGTTTGAAGGGGCATTTTGGCGTGCCACGGACTCCGCACCACACCAGTGTCCACCGACCCCGCCAAATTTGCGGTCGTCTTCGCTCATGGGATCGCTAAAAGTAGTCAGGAACGTATGTTGCTTGCGGTGCTTGGACAAAGCTTGAACTACTTCTTGCGCGCGATTGCTGAGTTCGTGGGCAGTGGTTGGGAAAACGCAATGTTGGTTGTATTGTTTTTCTTACAAACTACAGTACTCCTCCCGATCAACCTGAACCAAAACAACCATCAATGTGAATTCCGGATGATTCGTAAAAGATTACCACTTATTCTACACATATTTTATAAAATAACAATATAATGATGTAGTTAAGGTTCACGGGGTCTTTCCGTCAAATCTACAGGTTCGACCTTTGGAAAAACCACCACCAATGAAAAAAGCCAACATCAAACTGAAATGACACATGGCGATCTTCTCAAAAGGCGCCAAACCTTGAGCGGGAAACCAGATCAAACATCATCACATTTGAATCTGCATGAAACTCGCCGGACCTACCGTCGCAGAAAAGCAACGAGTCTTCGACGCATACCAGCAAGGTAGCGTCGACTGGAAAGTTGTCGCCAAGCACAACGAAGTTTCCGTCACAACCGCTTGGCGTGCTGTGTCGAACAACCGCGCTTCACCGCTTCCCCGCGGTGGCGGACGAAGAATGTAGAGAACAAGTTGAACAAACAAGCATTCGCCCAAAAGCTCAAGGATAACGCCAAGCTGCTAACGGCTACATACTGTAGCTTACTTTGACGAAACCAAATTCAACATCTACTTCAAGCGAAGTCAAGGACGAACGCGGAAGTGAAAGCGCGCTGTAGTAGCGCTGCCGATATCGAAGGGCCCGAACCTCCAACTGCGGTGTGCTGTCTCTGTCGTGGACGGACTTGTGTGCCATCGCATGCAACGAGGACGCATCAAGATGGATGTCAATGCAAGTTTTGTGGACCACATCTACGTCTGCGCCAAGCAAGGTCTCTCTTGGGAAGAGCACTTTCACGGGAAGAGGGTTGTCATTGTTTTGGACAATTCGCCGGCGCACTCTCAAACGGAAACACGTGTGTTGCCACACAACAATCTCGATATTCTTCGACTTGGCCCCTACTCGCCCATGTTGAATCGAATTGAGAGTTGTTTCAGTGTATTCAAGGCGAGCATCAAGCGCTACCTCGCTAAAAGTACCGACTCATGTTGTCTTGGCGAACTTTTGACACGTTCTTGGAGTCAAGAATTATGCCTGCTCGAAGAGGCTGCTGTGGACTCCCCTACTTGTATTACGCGACCCTTGGTGATCAAGGAGGCTTTGTTTTGCCAACGAAACGTAAAACGGGCCATCCTGTAAGAAGACATTCAGAATGGAAAGTGAATACAATTCATATTGATAGTGCCTTTATTCACATTGTTGGAGGCTGCAACGATTTTAACTGTTCTTTATCTGATCCGAACATCAACAAACGTTTCTTTCTGTTCCATATTTCACATTGATAGTGGTTTTGGTTCAGGTTGATCGGGAGAAGGTGTAGTAAGGCATATCGTTTTTCAAGAAAAAGAAGTTGATATTGATGTCGAAAATTCGTGACTATATGATACTAGTTTCGATATTACTCTCAACTGCACGACATGATATTTCTGTAAATCTGTCACACCCAAAAGATAACTATACATGTATAGTACATGGCATCCGACATCGATCCGACAAATTGGACGACCGACATGAAAACTTCTTTTGATGGGATGATGAATATTTCAAAGCAACGGATTGGTCGATGGTATTGTCGGTTGGTAACATTTCACGAACATTGAGCAATAACATGATCGGATTGATCAAGATTCCGTTTGAAATCAACAACAACGACGTCGAGCACGACGGAAACGATACCATCGGTGAAGCCCATCGATGAATCATGCATAGAGCAAACACCAGTCGCGCAACCTATCACAAACTGTCCCAATCTTGGCCGGAACAAATGTCGCGAACGGCTTACCTTGGCGATGGCGTTTGGCAAGTACTAATTCTACCAGCAGATCGAAGTTTCATGTCAGGGATATACGAGATCGTAGGCAAAGTTACTTGGCGAGGTTAGACGGAGAAAGTGTTTGAATACGTTGCAATTGCATCTTGGATTTTGGGGGAAAACGTCTTGTCGTCTTCGACTTTGCCGAGGGTTGAACGAGTGGTCATCCAAACTTACATCCGTCCAGCAAGCTTAGCGCCAGGCCTCCGCCGACCGCAGGACGTCGATTTCGTATGTCGATCTCGAGGATGCTGCGTCGGCGCTCCACTGTTCGGTCGAGATTCCGATCATGAATGAGAATTTTTCCAAGACTCTTGATGTGACCTATACCGTTAGCCTGGATTCCGAGTCACAGTATTCTAAAGTGTAAGTAGTGCAATTGGAGAATCAGGTTGATGGGATTTGCGCTCGACGCCTTCCATTAACATGGTATTGTTTGGCGCACTAGCAATTGTATATATGATCCAGCTAACGCTTTGGCTTAGTGCCTTTCAGTGTTGTACATCGTACAAAAGTACATAGAGTGGACGTATTCGAGGGGCACCTGGGAGGGGGTGTCGTTGTGATATCGCACAAGGTACGTCGTCGTCTGCACCCATCCATATTTAGCAACACCAGGTGGCCAAGACCGTCCTTAAGGTGCAAATACGACAAAGGAATTTTGCCATTATCCTGCAATGATCAGAAGAAAGGACATTTATGAGGCACTTCCCCGGCATAGTTTCAATTGCACTTCTCACGACTGCACTACGGACGTGTTCAAATCGAATGCAGAAGTTACTTGGGTCAAGCGGGCGTTGCATGCCAGACGACAGCGTGTTCTCACTTCCGGGTCCCCGACTCGGCAAGTGAATCGCTGGCGATTTTCATGATTCTCACTGCTTTTCAAGGGAAAAACAAAAGTGAATTAGGGTATTAGAGTGCTGACTACACACTTCATTTCGTCTACGCGGGACCAGCACTGTACGCCTACGGTACAACACACTGACATGGATGTTCGAACATTACGAGAACATCGTAATGCACGTGGATCACGATTCTGCGGGAACGCAGCCCTCCTAGAGAGGATGCCCCACCGATTGTTCCACGTCGGCGACCAGCGACGATATCAGTTCAATCTTCGCGTTGGCTTTAGCCCACCGTCTAAATGCACGGGAACTTCTTCGTACAGGTCGTTGCACGCTCCTAGGATGCCTCAACCTCATCCAGCCCCATCCACTGCACGCGACCTTCGAAGTGCCGGCGTTGTCTCGGATCTCCTTGAGAGCTTCAAAATGGAACCCGCTGTCTCCAAAGTCAACCTGCTCGAGGAGATCCTCGGCAATGTCACGACCCGCTTCGGAGTACAGCTTGAGGCGACTGACGTGGTGGAGGCTGATGGCGTGCGAGGGTAGCAACTGCTGGATATCCATCAGATGGTCCGAACGAACCCGTACAACACGGCATGGACCCTTCCAGCGGAGGGCCAATTTGTTCGGGTGTCGAACCACCCGAGCTACCAGCACGAAGTCGCCCTAAGCTAGGCTTGGCCATTTCATGGCTTGCCTATACGCCCGTTGCTCTCGTTTCTTCTCTCGTTTCGATGCAGCCTTCGACACACAATCCTTGTGCATCTGGTCAAGGGCGATGGCCACCTCTTGTAGATGCTGTTGCTGGCTCTTTGCCAGCCAATCGACCGTGTCCTATTCCTTCGGCCGAGGGTGGAAGATGCTAGCACAGCCACGGTCTGGCGGTCTGGGTGCTGGGTCAACATGCCACTGTTCACGGTCTCAAAGTATCCCAGCACATAGACACGTAGGAGCTGGATGTGCAGACCAGATTCAACCTGAATTTGGTGCTGGGGTCGGTCCACCTAAGCTTGAATTACTTTTACATTTGCCATCTCGATCACTTTCGACCTGTGCTAACAGGTTATGAGCCCAACTCGAGATCGATTTCTGTCAACGTTGTAAAAGCCCAAGCCCCTCCACTTTGTCATGCCTGCAGTGACGCTCACCAACTCCAACTTTGGCACCTGGCGTGTTTGGCTTGGTGCGAAGTTGCGTACGAAGAAGCTCTACAAATATCTCGAATGGAATGGCATGGATTCCAACGACGGCCAGGGCTTCGAATTTTCAAGAATCGATGACGACCGGGCGTTGGGAATATTGACGGAGAGTTTGGACGAAAGCCAGTACCAATTCGTGGATGGATTGATGACGGCAAAGGCGGCGTATGATGCATTGGTGAAGAAGCATGAGCCAGTGGCGAGGGTGGACAAGATCGCCCTGTTGGCGGAATATCATGCGCTGAAGTGCGACCTGTGCTAACAGAAGAGAGCCCGCAGCGGTGTACTGGTTGGAAGAGCCAAAATCGCCGTGATAGATGGCACATTGCCCAGACGATCCGCCGGCTGGTGGTTCAAGACAGACTGAACCATCGGCACTGTGGATGACCACTCGATCGCAGCAACTTCAACTCGCTGGACAACGCGCGAGCCATGCGTAGGACCTCCACTGTACCATTCGCCCATGGACAGTGGGGGTGACGAAGTGGTGGTTGGCGCCGACCGACCGACGCAGCACTTCCATCACTTGGTTTTTGAAGTGCGAGCCACAATCGCTTACCCACGTTGATACGACACCAAAGAGTCCGAACCAGTCCAACAATACCGTCGATGTTGCCTGTGCCGTCGCATCAGCACCAGGGTAGAGGCGGACATACCCGCTCATGTCGTCTTTTACAACTAGCAGATACCGCCAGCCGTTCACCTTGACTAGAACCTGGAGCCAGTCGAGGTGAATGAGTTCGTTGGGTCGGTCGGCGTGCAGCGCCTGTCCCCATGGCCGGGCTCCACCACCCCATTCACGACATGCAGTGCATACATTCCTTAACGAGAGCCTCGAATTCGGCATCAACAATCTTCCAACAAAACAGCCTCGTGAGGGTTTGTTTGGTAGCTTGAGCGCGGCGGTGCCCACCCCATTCCCGCATGAGCAACCACGCATAATCGTTGTTTTATGTCCACACATCCGCTCGGGATCCACGTGGCGTCCGACGGCATGACAAAACAGTTCTTGTCGGCTGACTCATCGCAGTCGAGACAATCGCGCTAAGCGCGGACGATCTCGCCCAAGGCGGGCCACTCGAAATTGTTGGAGCGCAACGGCAACACTAGTTGGACTAGTCAGCAGACAAGCGAATGGCTGGCGTCGCGGTTCGCCGTGTCCCACCGACTCAGGAGGCCCTCCCAAAAGTTTTTGTCCCCCGAGATCGGCTCGATCACGTAGGGGAACGCCGAAATTACCATGAACCAGCGTTGTAGCTTGTTGGTCTGATACTTGGCGATGATTGCTCCACCACCACCTGGGTGGAACTATTACACCAAGTTCCGGTGGTCCGTGAATAGGTGGAAACCACCCGGGCGCAATAGCTGGTTCTCGGGGCGCTTGCAAGCCTCGACAATGACAAACGCCTCCTTCTCCACAATGGGTCAGCGCTCGCTAGCCTCGTGTAACGCACCACTTAGGAATGCGAGTGGTTCGTGCCGTTGGTCGGCCAATGCTAGGCCGAGGTCAGCCAGGGGGAACTGAGAGGCTACAGCACCCCAAAACCCGTCGCTGGTGTCGGTGTATAGGGCAGATCACCTTTCCGGAGGTCAGATGGGCCAACGGGACCATGCCGCGCATAGTATTCTTGATGGCCTCGAAACATGACGCATGGTCGTCGGCCCATCCGATGTTAACCAGGCGTATCCTTGCCAACGCTGACTTTCGTCTAGCACCACTTGCCGACTTGGCGGCGACGTCCAACAGCTGCAGCAGCGGTGCCACCAGCTTGGCGTACTCGGGTACAGACTCACGCATCCAATTGACGGCACACACGAACTGTTGCATCTCAGCGGCTGTTTCGGGACCGCCAGATCGCGTAGACCTTGCACTCGCTTCGGTGAGTGTGCCTCACGAAGAACTCACACTTCTTGGGGTATAGTTTGAGGGCATAAATTGCAAATACCGAGGAACTTGGCCAACACGATCATATCGGACGACTCGTATCCGATCAAGTCATCCAATCAGCTAAGGGTCCCTTGAAAAAAGAGGTCCCCGAACATTTGGTTAACCGCCGCCTGGTAGAACGCCACTGCGTCGGCGTATCCGGTGAGGACCCTCGTGAGGGTATAGATTGGGTGCAATTGTAGCTGCCAATTCCCCCTTCAACTATCGAGGTTGAAGTACACGGACGTGCCGGTCAACATTGACATAGCCGCGTCGAGGTTGGGCATAGGCACGGCCTCGCCAATGTGCAAGCATTCACATGGCGACTATCGATCGTCATTCTGTAGTCGCCAGTCCTTCTGGGGGCCGATGAGCGGGGCACATGCCCACCTCGACCGGTTGTTTTGGTGGATGAGACCGTCGCGTTCGAGCTCACCCACTTGCCCCTTGAGGTACTCCATATGGAGAGGCGGGTACCGATGCAGTTCAAATTTCACGGGGCTCGCAGCCTGCTTGACTCGAACCTTCAGAGGCTCCACCTTGATAGGCGGATAGCAGCTCATTTCCAATCGGAACACATCCGTATACACCTTGAGCAGCCGACGCAGCTGCTCAAGAGACACTGCAGAGAGACCTTCCTCTTCTGCCCGCACCAGTTTCGCGGCGAGTACTTCCCTGACAGCTTGCGCTCCGCTTGTGCAGTCACCCCGTCGAACGAACACGGCAATGGCGTCGGGCACTGGGGACCACCGTCGTCGTCCCCGCGGTAATCCAACTCCGCCTGCATAAGGCGATTCACCCTCTCCATGGTCGTTATCGGTTCTGGCTCTGGATCTAGAGCGTCCAGGTCCCAGATGGCGGCTTGCTTACTTCCCGCCACGAGCAACCCATCGTCGGAATACCCCAAGGCTTCATTACGGGCCGTCCGACGAGGATCTCCGCCCTGTCCTTCACGTTGTCGTCAACACACATCCTGTCCTCGAAGGACCAGAGGTCCGTAGGAGGTCAGAAACTCCACGGGCCTGAGTTTCATCTCTCGCGTGCATGTAATCGTCGGAGCTCCATAGGGTGCTACCTCTGTCGGACACACGGCATCGCGTACCACCACACTAGCTCCGGCTGCCTAGGCCAGACCCACCGAGGCCACAGACGTGTGCGACGTCTGTGGCCTCTTCAATGATTTGTTACGTTGCATGGAAATCTGCTCCTTAATAACCTCCTGGAGGCCAACAGACTTTTTTGCGTCGATAATGATGCCGACCATCATCTTCCCCTCCTCTTGGAGGACCCATTCTTGGTTGTCCACCTCGAGGGTCTTCATTAGACCCTCAAGCATCTTGCCGACTCATGAGTCGACGTCCACGATTGTCAGGTCGAATTTTACCAAACTGCGCAGCCGAGCGCGGATCGTGTCGAGGTCAGAGGGTAAAACGTCGTAGCCGAGGCGCATCCACCCGACCCTTTCAGCTTCCGTGACAGAGTCAGCTGGTTTGTCCAACTCCCACATGGCTGTCGTGAAGTGGTCAATGCAGGCTGACACCGGTACCACCAAGGGCTTAGTGGTAGACGTCTGCAATGCGACCACCTTCTCCAGGTACTGGTAATCTCTCATGAATTGACGGCGCTCGGCCTTTGTCGAGCTCTTAAGCATTGGCGCCTGTGGGATGGCTGGCGCTTTGAAGACCATCCAGTCACCAACGCGCATGCTTTCATCATCACGTCCATCTGCAGCATCACTTGCGGTGGACGTTGCACAGGTCGTGCTAGCCGGCTCCGAAGTCGGTGTTGGTGTGGTACCGGCCGCAGCAGCCACCGGTTTCACCGCCGCCCCATCGGAGTGCGCAGCGGACGCGGCAACTGGAGCTGACACCGGTGCATTCCACGTTTCGTGTCTCAGCCAGCTGGCAGCACTTCGAGGCTGTCGTCCACGCGGCGACTCGAGCCTCTCACCGCCACGCGGGCTTCGCGATCTCACTCGCGATGCTCCTCCCGGCGCGCTTCGATATCTCGTTCGTCGAAGTCGAATTCTTCAGATTCCATTCACGTCGTGGTCGTTCTCCACCGATTTCGGGGTTTCGTGGTTTCGGGACAGGAGAAGCTGCAACAGCAACTGCTACTAAGGAATTCTTTGTTCTCACTTCTGGGTCCTCGACTCGGCAAGTGAATCGCTGACGACTCTCATTGTCTTTCAAGGGAAATGCAAAAGTGAATGAGGGTGTTAGGGTATACTGACTGCACACTTCATTTCGCCTACGGTACAACACACTGACACGGATGTTCGAATATTGCGACAACACCGTAACGCACGTGGATCATGATCCCGCGGGAACATGAGTCGTTGTGGTATCGCATAAGGTACGTCGTCGTCTGCAACCATACATTCTTTAGCAACACCAGGTGGTCAAGACCGTCCATGAGGTGCAAATACGACAAAGGAATTTTGCCATTACCCTGCAATTGATCAGAAGAAAGGACATGTATGAGGCTCTTCCCCGTCATAGTTTCAATTGCACTTCTCACGACTGTGGCACGGACGTGACCAAACTGAATGCAGAAGATACTTCGGTCAAGCGGCCGTGGCATGCCAGACAACTGCGTCAAGGCGCCACCGCGGACTAGGAGTGGGGGTGCTTGGGAGGCCGCCGAGGGGCGGCTGGAGTCGGCGTGGTTGGGGTAAGAGTGGTGCTGGGGGCGATTGCAATGATTGAGGCTGTGACAGCGGTAATGATGATGGCCATCTACAGGGAACGACGCTGAATACAGTAAGTCCGCGCCAAAAAAGAAGAATACATATTTGAATTATCCAATCAAAAGTGATTAAATTAAGTGGATAAAATACATTGGCTAAAATATTCCCGTCAATTTTCAAGCCAACATTGCTGTACGTTTTGACAACCTTGTCACTCAATCCACCACGATTGCCCGTAGACGTTGCAACGCCAATGTGTCGACAGCGCCCTTATCTTGCACAAAATTCCAATGCTGAGCGCTTGGCGGAGAAAACATCACTTCTGCTCTCAGCTGTAACAACTGGTTACATGGCAAGATGCGTGCGCCGGCTACAAACGAAGGCTCTATGATGTCGTTCAAGCGATTCAAGGCTCGGAAACAGAACACTAGCCCATGCGCTGGGAAGCTATCATCGCCCAACCATGTGAGCTGGTTACATACCTCGAGGACCTACGACGCCAGGACTTAACCGTGACACCTGCCCACATGATACGATTCCTGCGGAACGCCCACACGGCATGGATCGAAGGCTAAGTGGCGATAAGGAAGAATTGGTAAAACGCGCTCCTGCGGCTCCTCCAGCGATGCGCTGACCGACATGGCTTCTCTAAGCAAATTGCTTGCCGGGAAAAGAAGACGCAAAAGGATCTGGAAGTGACTCGTGCTGCGTTTGCCATGCAATTCCACACGGACTATCCAACGCTGCGATGGATTGCGACTTCCATGCCGATTAAACAGTAATCACGAACGATATGTTATCAAACACCACCGGGGCGGTGCGCGGCGGCGGCAGTTACGTATCTAACTCAGGGCTTCACTCGTATCGTATGACAGTTTTGCTCACGGTTCGCGGAGGCAATGTCATGCTGCCCATCGTGTTCGTCATCCGTGGGTTTGTTGGTGGCGTCATCGAGTCACACGAGATTGCTGAGTATCCACGTGGTCACGACTATGCAATGCAGGAGAAAGCCTGGATGAACGTTACTGTTTGGCGGTGCAATCTACGAGAAGTATTGGCGTTGCGAATCGAGGACCCGTCGATTCTCCCCCATACCGTATACATTTAGTTTTAACTTGATTAAAGTATTATATTAAATAATTAATTATTGACTTGCCATGTTACATTTTGTGGGTCCACCTTGCAAAGGTGAAGACACACTCTCAGGTGTAATGGTGCTCCTGTCACTGCGGCTGTAAATGGGGTTATCTATTTCAAGGATTATAACCTGGAAGAACATGGCGTCGAGTCAACCCCGATGTGTGACATTGATTCTTATTGTAATTATAACCTTGCAGATAAATACTGAAAGCTCAAAAATTAAATTAGATTTTGCCAAATCCTCCAAGAGTTTGTTGCCTCTGATTAGGCAGAACTCTCATGCCCTCGGTCCAATCACAGATAAATGTAGCGGTCTAATTCAGTGTAGTTCCCTGTAGTGGGTGTTCCTCGACGACGGATTGTCGATCCGAAAACTTGCCTTAGAACCTCTTGTTTAGAACATAAGTCCTTGCGTCCTCGTAGAAAGACGCCTAAATGTTTGGTTGCACCAACCAAACCAATATCACATATGCTTTTTGTAGGTCACGTGCTTCCTTTACTTGCATTATTCTAGGTGACGCCGAGAGCGCAGTACCGTGAAGCAGGCCCCTGAACTTCCTTTTGAATTTGTGCGATTGCGATTTCCCCTTGACCCAGTCACAAATGTCGAGAAGCAGAGTACTCTCCTGTAATATCAAACTATCGCAAGCGTCTTACAGTCACTTGACCGTCACAAACTTGGTGAATCAGGGCATTCTCTTGCCAAATCAAGTCTATCGCAAGACCGTTTGATCTTTTTCCCGGCCTGCCTCGCCTTGAGGTGTCGGCCATGAGACGCTTTGGGACTATTGAACTGAGGTAAACGGGCGTGACATTGAAGCACTGCAACGCAAGTTAGGCTTAGGTTATCGAATACAACGCCACGTCAACACTCCTTAGCACGCGAAAATGAAAAGAAAAGACGCACTGAACGAGAAGACACAAAGTCCATCAATGTCGAAGCCTAATAATCGACCTTTTATATTCGAACTTGATGTGAGCCCGCGCCTAATTTCTTTGCAATGTGTCTTCCCTTCGCGGTGCTATTCAACATACAAACTGAGTTACAAGTTAGCATTCCAATTCCCCCTCCAAACCACTTCCCCCAGGAAGTTAGTCGAGGAAAACAACGCCACGAACTAAATCTATCCGGACAGTCGTTCGATCCAACCACAATCCAGCAACCGACCTCAGCGAGGTTGATCTAGACTCGGGTCGAGTTCGACTAGAGATTTCCCCCCTACAATGTGTACTAATGGTCAGATCGAACGCCGCACGCAAGATGTGCACGTTGTCATACTTGCCGTGGCACAACACCAACTATCACATGAGCATTGTGACTTCGTGTACATGTCGTTGCAGACTCCCGTGACGCCCTATTCTTTTAAATTCCAGTGATTCCGTACACTGTTCTCAATTTTAGAGCGATACATAGCCGATTTAGCTGTGCATTTGTTACATATTCTCTGTGCAACATGAAAATAGAGTTGTACTAGCCTTGTGTGATGGTGCTTGTTCATACTGTATGGTGTTCCCAGCATACAGATACTATTATGGCGGGAACAATCGGCAAAGTACTAGCTACACACACGCTCTATGTAACCCGCACACTGTTTGTGTAAAGTTTAGTCTTAACACTACCACAACATGAAAGAAATGGAATGACAAAGGGATGAAAAACTAACTGCACATCTAGTAAGCGTTTCTTCACCTTGGTATCGTTCGATGCTTACATTGGCTCATTTCCACTGAAGCACTACAACTTAACAATCGCAACATCCGAACTCAAGTTGCAGCTTATTTCAGGAAAATTATCCACCATCTGGTCGAAGTACGCAATTAAATTCGTCTTGACAAATCTTCCGCTGAAGCAGTTTCGTTACCTTGTCGATTATTCGCATGTCTTCGAGAGCAATTTCCAACAGCACAACTTCGTCCTTGGACGGGTCAATACGTTGGACAGCTGAAGGCATCTTGGCAAAAATGGAAGGAGTTGGAAGAAGCGCTCTAGGATTACATAAGTTAATTACCAACGTTTCGTGTATTGCAGTCTTCGTTGAAGACCTTTGGTGCCGTGAATCGACGAAGCATAACGTCACTGTTGAGCGTTGTCAATGCCACCGTTAAGTCTTGAAACTTCTGTAGACCTTGGTAGTACTGTAATGGGTCTACATATGAACTTTGAGAGCCAGACTAAGGCGATGACTGGCACAACCTACCGAAGGAACAGACAAATCTCGAACGCGCTTGCAATTGACGGAACTGTATTACGGCAACCAAATCATGCCATCTTGCGCGCTTGTTTTTGGGATGCATGAGCAAATCGATCGGACCGGCTATCTTCTGGGCACAGCGTTGCCTGCTCGACAGTCGAAGTTTCGTACCCGATGCCATTTCGATCGTATTCCAAATGTCATTCAAAACGTAAGTACGTGCGTCCTTAGAATTCTGTGTTCTCGTCGGCCGGCATGATTAGGGATTCCTTGGTGTGCTTGGTTGCGGGTATTCTTCAGTGAAAGTGGAGAGTAGGGAAGGATACATGCGAGAAATCTACTCATCGGAACAATCATAAACGAGTCGATCTAGCAATAGCCATCCGATTGAGGCTTTTGGAATTAACAATAGAGTCATTGCAAAGTTAACAATCCCATGAGTTGAGAGCGATGCACACAGTGTAGTTAGAGCACTTTCAGCACAGTTGCCACAAGTCGAAAGACCGTCATGCCCGCAACGCTCAATTTACCTACTATCATTACGCTCTGTATGCTACCGACGCAAAAGTCCAGCCGAGCGATCGCCAGGGTGGCCGATTCATTCAACGAGAGAAAGGGGTGGTTCAGCGGCGCTCACTATTGCACGGGTTGAAGATCGAGGCGTTCTTGTCGCAGCAAGGATTC